GGGATCGACGGAAAGTGCTGAAGACAGAAGACGATAAAGCTAAACGTTCAGGATCGACAGAAAGTGCTGAAGACAGAAGACGATAAAGCTAAACGTTCGGGATCGACAGAAAGTGCTGAAGACAGAAGACGATAAAGCTAAACGTTCGGGATCGACGGAAAGTGCTGAAGACAGAAGACGATAAAGCTGAACGTTCGGGATCGACGGAAAGTGCTGAAGACAGAAGACGATAAAGCTGAACGTTCGGGATCGACGTAAAGTGCTGAAGACAGAAGACGATAAAGCTAAACGTTCGGGATCGACAGAAAGTGCTGAAGACAGAAGACGATAAAGCTGAACGTTCGGGATCGACGTAAAGTGCTGAAGACAGAAGACGATACCTACTTTGTTAACTAAAGCAAATTTCTTGTACAATTTAAAATGTTTTTCCTCATAGTCGCTTTAAAATTTTACATTCATTTACATTTAAAACATTTAACCAGGGATAAAACAATGTACAAGATCGCTGTGTGTGAAATGGAACGTAATCAATATTTTTCTTATGAAATCATTCTTACAGTTTACATACACCAAATCATATGTGTGTTAAACCTTTATGGAAAAATAAAAACAGTACAAGCATAAAATAAAAGTACTAAATTCAGTACTTAATGCGTAAAGAAACCAATCTCAAGAACGCCAATTAATTTCACTGGTAACTGCTAATGTAAGAAAAGTAGTTTAACGATTGCCTTACGCGCTGGGTGAAAAAAAAACGAATAAACAAAATCTGCCTGGTGATAGTTTTTTCAAAATAATTGATATAAGAACTTTCGATGTCAATTTGGTATGTTTATTGTTTAAAAGTTAAGAAATATTTTGAAATATTTTTCGTCCTGACTAACACTGCATTCTTTCAACAGGGTTATTCAAGAAACATGAAAAAGATGATAAATGAAAGGTAAAAGCAAACTAGATACTTCGCAAAATACTATGGGCTTTCAGTGAGGGAAAACCTTCTTGATAACAATGAAATGGTTAAGGCCATAGAAGCATCACTTTATCATGTTGCTTGAACTGATGAGAATCCACAGCATCATAATTGCCCCGGTGGAGAACACAGTTAATGTGGTTAGGAAAGAAATAAAGATAATTACAATCATAGTTCATCCAATGATTTCTCTCAATCTCCAGTGACTATTTTGTTCAATGCATATAACCTATTACTTTCAATCATAATTCAGAAGAAGGAGGAGGAGGTGATGAAGAGGAGGTAATTTATTATTACTGATTTATCAAAGCAGCCTGCTTTCTGTAGTAGAGAAATTTAAGACGATTTAAATTTTCAATCGCTCAATTTAACTTTTGCAATAATGTAGGTCTTGTTATGATTTAATTTATATACGTATATATATATCACAAGTCTTTTCTATGTTGGTATACGAATCAGTCATTTTCTTCCATAAACTGATATAAAAGTTTCATGTATAATATCATCATAAACTTTGTATGTTGTTGCAAAAAGAAAACATTCCACTATATGATAAAAGCAAAAAATGTAAAACTTTTACACACAGATCTGTTTATAAAATAATAAGTGGAAAATATTTGCAAAAAGTGTCATGAAATTATTATTGTGCGCGTAGTTTACTATATCTTTACAGGATCAACAAAAAATCGTTCGTGCAATAGATCTTTTAATTTTTTGTTTGTTCATAATCGATCTCGCAAGACCAAATGTATCTACTAATTTTCTTATTATTGAAGTTAAACGAGCATAGTTTTAAGTATTATTGCAAAAATTGATGCATTAATTATTTTTATATTTTTTACGTAACAGGCCACAAATAATATGCGCCATGTGATGGACATGGACATGACGAATTGAAATGGTAAAAATTATATATTAATCAAATTCTTCATTTTTACGTAACACGGAACAAATATTGAAGTGCTCGATATGATCGAAACGTTTTATGTTCGTAGGAAGCTTAATATATGTGATGACTGGAACTAGACCAGATTTATGTTATATTGTTACAAAACTATCTCAGAAAATGTCTGAACCCACACAAGCAGATTTATCCACTGCCAAACATGTTTTAAGATATATAAAAGGGACACAAGAGGTTGGATTAGTCTTTCAAAAATAAGATTCACAACTTAAACTTACAAGTTTCTGTGACTCAGATTGGGGAGCGTCTATAAAAGATAGACGAAGTATTACAGGTTATAATTTTCAGCTTTCACAAGAAGGTCCTCTCATATCATGGAAGAGCCGAAAACAACCAACTGTAGCACTATCAACGTGTGAAGCAGAATATATTGCCTTAGCAAATGCAATTCAAGAAGCGAAGTATTTAATGCAAATTTTTTTAGATATGAAGGTAAGTATAATGGAAGGTAGGTCTTTTCTTTTAATGGATAACCAAAGAGCAATGAATCTAGCTAAAAACCCAGTTCATCATCAAAGATGAAAACATATTGACATTAGATACCACTTTATCAGATCAGAAATTCAGCAAGGAAGAGTTTGCTTAAAATATGTACCTAGTGAAGACAACGTAGCAGATATTTTCACAAAACCAACAAGCAAAAACAAATTAGAAAAATTTAGGCAGACAATATTAGGAAACGTACGGTAGAAATTCTAAAGTGCGCATAAGTAAGGCCAAAGGTAAGTATCAGTTTAGGAATAATAATAATAATAAAAAAAAGATAAAAATAAAAATGTAGGATGCTTAGAACATAAGAGCAAGTGGGTGTGTTAAGATATCCTCTCACATTCTTCCTGTCATTAGTAAATAATTAAGTCAAGTGTAACTAAATGATTATTTTAAGAGATACTTATGTGCATGTTGTAAAAGTTTTATTAAATATTTATTATATCTTCCATGTACTAACCTAAGGATGTTTTACACAACACTGCTGGGGTTCAATGCAAAGGCTCCTTAAATAATGGGCATACTTATTTACATTTACGTATATTTAAATTTCGTAATGAATTCTGTTCATTCACCCTAACATACATGAATGCATAACATACATGAACTTGAATGGTATCATTTATAAAAACCCAATTGCTTTATTGTTCCTTTTAACTCCTTCATGGTGAAAATTTCTTAAGTGTAAATTGATGACATCTATATGGCACCATAGTGCCGCTCATTACGATGAACAAAGTTCTATCAAGTATCACAGCGTTTCATCCTCGTATCATACGTACGCTTATCGTTCACGCATTATACGCTCATCATACGCGTATTCTTTTCGTATCATACGCGTATCGTTCTCGTATGATACGCGTAGCGTATGTTAACAAATATGTTAACAATCTACTACTTACAGCCTGGAACAGACATGCACAGCAAATCACAAATTTATTTGGTATGTACTTTACTTATTTGGAAAGGCTTCTTTAGGTCGGTCATTTGACTGAAGATTGAGTTTATAGCACATTTTTGCAGTCTGATCTCGAATATTTTTTAAATAACGATTTTTTTATTGTAGATAAATTATTTGCCGTCTATTTTGTGGCTACCCACATGCATGGTGTGCGTTTCTATTTTTATAGTATCAGATAAGCTTTGACCTTGCGTTTCAGTAAACTTTATTGCTTTAACATCCATATTCTCTTTCCTACCGAGTTGAAGCACGACGAAGGCGAGTATGAGCGAGGAGAGAGAGAGAGAAAGGACTGAAAGGAAGGAAGGTAAAGAATACGGGCAGACCCAAAAGAGCTGCTGCTCTTTATTCTGTCTGGAAGACACAGAATATGCTTGATTAGTGGGATTAATCAAGGTGGGTGTGTGTTGTAAATTGTCATGTTATGTTATGTAGTGTGTGAATATACCGTATGATAAATTGTAAAATGTTAGTCATATATTACTAGACATTATAATATAAATAAGAGCTTGCAAGCGTTGGTTCGACATTCGGAAAAACAGACGTTGTTAGACGTACAAAAGTGATAAGTTAGAAGTCGTATCACAGGAGGCGTTTGAATAAGTTTCAAGTTTAAGATTGACCGTTGGCCGTAATCTCAACGTTTCAATAACATATTGGTGTCGCAAAGAGCCAACGTTTGGAACTGCGTATCACAAATCGTGCACAAACCACTGTAAATATCCTATCAAGTGTTAAATACAATTGTCAAAATACAGTCCCATCGTTCGAGTGAAGTCTCGAGAGCAGTGAACCAGCACTTCGTACAGGTTGTGCGAAAATTTTCTTCAAAGATTGGGCTTGAAGAGCGCAGAAAAATAATTGAAAAATCTAAGCCACCGCAAAATTGCGACAAACTTACTGTGCCTAAACTCAATGATCTTATATGGTCAAGCCTTAAAAATTTCCATCGTCAGCAAGATTTGCGCACCGCAGTTCTACAAGATTCTAGGGTGTGTGTCGCAAGTTCTCTCTCAGTTACTGTCGATGACCAATTAAAATGCTGAGAGACAAAGTGTTACCGGACTTTCGCGCCATTACGACTACGCTCTTTGATGCCGTTACCTTATTAGTGCATGTAAATTTTAGAGCTGTCATACAAGCGTTGACGTGTAGGCCCTCCCATTTATTCTACCATCCACTCTCCTCCACTCTAGCCATTGTACGAATACTCGTGCTCTAAATACTGGTTAATTCTTGCGCAGTACTCTCTCTCCTACAGTCATGGGCGAAATTTAAGGGGGGGGTATGGTGGGGGGGATGAAATAACCCCCCAAAATGTCACGTTGCAGGGCAACGATTGAATTTGCAGGGCTAATTACAAAACAAAACACTAGGATACGTGCAAACAGTTATCCACATAATTTGAAAATATAGTTCATTTTTAATTTAAGCTGGATTTGCACTTCATGGTAAAACGGTAAACGGTACGCATCAAGGAAACTTTCCGTTTATAAATTTCCTCTTGTTTTCGCGGACATTTTAAAAGCAGATATGCATCATCATTGAAGTTTTCATATGTAATATTTTTGAAGTTTTTATATGTTAAGTGGAAACACCTACTATATTTTTACATCAGTAAACACAAACACTAAGATAAATTTTGTTGATTTAAATTGATTGAAGCTTTTTAGTAGCTAGTGTTTGTATAGTTTATTTTACGAACAAGGAAAGTCAAGGATGAATGGTAAGTAATAGCAATTATTTAAACAAAAAACCCGAAACCAACAAATGTGTAAATGTGATTGGTATTTATTGAGAATAAAACAGAAAATTCCAAAGTTATCAAGAACAAGAGAAAACGGCCGTATCGGCAAAAAATTAAGTGTTCTGCATGTAATAAAGAAATGTTCAATGATAATTTTTCTAAACATAATAATTCCACTCACAAAGGAAAGGGCAAAATTATTAATATCGTTGATCCGTCACAAAAAAGACTCTCATTTGCGTCGTGCAATGTAAGTTAAAATTTGTTTTGAAGTTCATAAAAGTGCACTAACAAAGCAGGGGCGGATCTAGGGGTAGGCACCATAGGCAAGTGCCTATGGTGAAATTACCAAAATATACTTCGACTTAGATTCGATACGAATTTATCGAATTATGAAACTATGAATAGCACTTTATCGCAGTCAAATCATCTGACTTTTGTTTAGAAATGTTGTGCAATTAAATGACGTAGTTTTGATATGAATCGTAGTCCAGATGCGTATGATTATCTATAAAGCTCCGTATCGTTAGGCAAAGCAGCCATTTTGCCTAAGTCAAGAAGGCGATCTAGCCATTTGATTGGTTGTTAGCAATTTGCCTAAACAAGATGAATTTGCCTAACTTGACATCGTGTATAGGTATTCTGATTGGGCAATTTTTTTGCAACCGTATGCTTTCATTGGTCAATTTTTTTTTGCCTAACTTGAGCAATTCCAACCAATCATTGCTGTTGATAAGCATAGTTGAGCTAGGCAAATTAGGCAATTGAAAATTAACATACACTCGTATTGTTTCTGAACAGCCTCTGTGCTCAGTTTACGGTTTTGTGATATTTTATAATGTCTTCATTGTGTTGTGGTAATTTATACGAGACTGCTCAGTCTGCGTTGGCCAAAAACGATTTAAAATGCCTTAATGAGCTTTATTCTCGTTTATTGGTCGACGTTCGACCTATGTTTACTAACGAGCAGCTGTTAGATAGAATTTATGACCCCGACCATACTCTGTGTCGAAATTTTGGAGCTGAAATATATGTGCCAAAGCACGCTCATGACGGAAAGACTTGTACTGCAATAAGGTAAATATATTATAATTATATATATCGTATTGTAGTATTTATATATACGTGTAAAATGGTTAAATCTCAATTTCGCTAGGCTATATCTTTGTCTACAGTCAGCAATTCATTCATACAATGCAATCAATCTACCAAACAAAATATTAATTTCTTTTCTTGAATATTTTTTAAGATCTGAAGCTTCTGGCAATTGCCTCTACAGTTCAGCTTCCCTAGTTCTGGTAGGTAACAATGCATTGGTCCCTACTTTGCGAATTTTAACATCGCTTGAGCTATTTATTCATGCTGCTTTTATGCTCAACACCCATGCTTTTTGTCTGTTATAAGTGAGCACAGTGATTACTTTGCCCAAAGCTTAAACAATCTTTTGCCTTTGTCAGTGTCTAAAGAATGTTTAGACACTGGATATACAACAGATGAACTGGTAAAACAGGAGGCTATTTTAAATTGTAATGACCAGAAATGGTCATCTTTTCTTTGTATTTTGGGCCTATCTTCTGTTTTAGGTAGAAAAATTCATACTTTTATCCTGATTCTGGTGAAAGTAGATATAAATTGTTATTTAATCGTATTGTTCAGCCCCGGTTATTAAGCCAAAGAGGTTTGGATGCTATTAATATTTTGTTTTGTCATGAAGGATCTGTACAACCAGGTGAGACTTTTCAGTCTAATCATTTTGTGCCTCTCATTTTCCATGCCCACAGGTTGAAGCGAAAATTGTCTAATTCCTGTACACAGTCTAATTCTAGCAGCTCAACAACAGAGAAACGAAAATTTGTCAAAATTTTTCCAAATATTGCACCAAAAACAGTTGACATTTCAAATTTTTTTACTTCAACTAATAGGCCTGCTGCCCAACCAACTTTTAAAAGGATGCCCAATGAGAGTTTTTCTTCTGCTGCAGCTCTTGCTCAGACATTAAATAAAGCCAATAGTCTTTTGCTTCACACATCATCCCAGGAACTATTGCCTGGTATTCCAACTTCTGGTGATATGCAACCTGCTGTTTTAACCCATAATTTTGATGTTTCCTTGTATAGGGAGAAAGTTAAGGGTATGGATAATTCTGAAATATGTCATTTGATAAAAAATGTATATAAACCAGATAAAAAGTATCATTTTCCTAAATCTAATGGCAGATCATTTAGGCATGATTGGCTAGACCAGCATGAATGGCTTTGCTATTCACCTTCACAAAATGGTGCGTATTGTCTATCGTGTGTGTTGTTTGGCAATAGATTCCCAGGCAAGGCCAGTAAAGTAAAAAAGTTGTTTACTGAACCTCTTCAAGATTGGAAGAATGCTAAATGCTCTTTCACTCAACATGCTGGAAAAAGTAAAGGGAGGAAGTCGGTTTGCATGCATCCACATCACCAATTTTGATGCTTTGCGTTCCCAAATATCAGGTACTCTGCAGCCTATCGAGATGATCATGGATGCTGGTATCAAGAAAGAAATAGAACAGAATAGGGAAATACTATCTCCAATTATTGATTCTGTCATTTTTTGTGGACGTCTAGGTTTACCTCTTCGTGGGCATCGTGATGATTCCAAGTATCACCCTACTGTTGGTTGTTATTCATCTGGAGGGGTTGGTAATTTCATTGAAACACTCAATTATGGAGTTAGGAGAGGGGATAAAGTTTTAGAAAATCATTTAAAGAATTGTGGTAAGAATAGAAGTTATATTTCTAAAACAAGTCAAAATAAAATCATTAAATGTTGTGGCCAGGTAATCAGTAATCAGATTATTTCTGATATCAAAAAGTAAGTTTTTTCTGTTATTGCTGATGAAGCATCTGATTCTTCACATAAAGAACAAATGTCTCTTGTTTTGCGCTTTGTTGATACCGATATGAATATCAGGGAAGAATTCATTTCATTTCTTTTTTGTAAGTGGGGACTAAGTGGTGCTCAACTTGCCAAGCTACTTTTAGAGGCTCTAAAGGAACTGACTTTATCAATAGATGATTGTAGGGGGCAAGGTTATGATGGGGCTGGTTCAGTTGCTGGTTGCACTAATGGTCTAGCATCTCAAATTTTAAAACTTAACCCAAAGGCTCTTTATACACACTGCTATAGTCATAGGTTAAACTTATCCATTTGCGATTCTTTGAGTATATGTGTTGTCAATGATATGTTGAAACATGTTAACAATGCCACTAATTTTATTAAAATTTCCCAAACTCGCAATATTCCCTTTGAAAACATATACGTAATTCAGAAACAAACTCGAAAAGACTAGATTAACAGACGTTTGCAAAACTAGATGGGTAGAACGTATCGAAGGTTTAGATACATTCCAAGAGCTTTTGTACCTGTATACACCACCCTTAACGATATGTCTGAAAATCTAGATGGTGAGTTCAAACCGTCGCTTCAGTCTGATGCCTCATCTTTGTTTCAACTTATTGACAGGTTTGATTTCGTCGTTGCTTTAGTTATCACGAGAAATATTCTTGATTAAACTCTTCCAGTAACACAATTATTACAGGGTAAGAGTATCGATATAATGGATGGTATTCATTTAATTTCAACTTTGAAAACTGAGGTGGTGAACATGAGGAATTCCTCTGATTTTTATCATGACACGTGGTATGACGAAGCGCTTGAACTGGCAGCAAAAGTTGGCATTGAAGAATGGAAACCAAGAACAGTGCGAAAACAAACGACCAGGGAAAATATTTCCCACACAACCATTTCTGAGTATTATAAACGTGCAATTACTCTTCCTCTACTAGATCATTTGCAATCTTCTTTAGAATCACGATTCGACCTTGAGAGTGTGAAAGGCCTTAGCATTGTACCGACGAAAATGATGTCCATGACAAGAGATGGGGTGGATTGGAAAGAGCCATTCAAAACTGTGGCTAACTTTTATTATGATGATTTGCCAAATCCTTTGGCCTTAGATGCTGAACTTAGGTTGTGGTACACTTATTGGGAGACCCACTGCGGCCTCCTTCCTGATAACATTGCCCAGACTTTAAAATCTGTTCATTTCGCCGGATTTGAAAACATTAAAATTTTACTACGTATTTTAGGAACGCTCCCCATTACCTCTTGTGAATGTGAACGATCTATTTCTTCCCTTAGGACACTTAAAAACTATCAGCGAAGTACCATGGTTGGGGAACGCTTAAATGGTTTGGCCTTGATGCAAATTCATCAGGAAATTGTACCAGATATTGGTGAGGTTATTAATACTTTTGCTGTTGGAAATACAAGGCTAAAATTTGCATGAATTTATTCATATCCTAGTTTTTTATTTTGTTGAAATGTCCATATGTTAACCATTTATTGTGCGTTGTACACAATAGTAACGTCAATAGAATTTGCATCAAACTAATAGCTCGCCCGATAAAGGTTTTTTCCTATATACATTCCAATCTTAAAACTGCTGAGTACGTGTATGGTACTCGGCCGTTGTCGACATAAATTTACTTTCACAAAATTGTTAAGCATAAATAGAATAATTTTTCCTTACACCAAATTTTAGTCTTCACAAAGACTCTTTATACAAAGCTCTATTTTGACTATTACATTACATTTACATTCTGCTCATTTGTTGGCAAATGAGAGTGCACATTTTAGGTGGGGGGTAAAGGGTTGGAATTGACTGGGATGGTGTAAGAAACTGAGCAATCTTACATCCATGAAATGTCCCACATAGTCACCCATTTCTAACCAAACTCCTTTTGCTATTTGCTAAAGGTGTGAAAGGCGAGTTTCTGGCGCCTTCAAAAACCAGAGTGCTCATTTTTAGGTGGGGGGTAAAGGGTTGGAATTGACTGGGATGGTGTGAAAAATTGAGCAATATCACATCCATGAAATATCCCATATAGTCACCCATTTCTAACCAAACTCCTTTTCAAAGGTGTGTAGGCGAACTTCTGGCGCCATAACCAGTCTGCTTAATTCGGCTCTCACAGGGCTGTCCATGCCGGATCACGATTTTTTGTTTTGCGTTAAAGTGTTCCTAGGCATGCTGATGAGCCCTGATATGGGGCGAAACAGTCTTGTGTGCATTCAATATTCTGAATAGTGAAAATCAACGACCTTGTGATATGTAAGTATAAATATACAATGTTTTTATGTATTTATACGATTGAGATCTACAAGATTCTGCATAGCTGAATGATTAGACTGTTTGATTTAAACAATTTATCGAAAGCATAAATAGTGTAGTATGTTTTGCAAAGTATGACGTCATAATGTTTTGCCTATGGTATCCAAAATCCTAGATCCGCCCCTGTAACAAAGGACTTGTTTTATAAAGTCTGTTTTAAACTAAGGTTTAGAAAAGTACGACGTCTTTAGAGTCAAGCAGCACCAGCCTTAACGAGATAAATGAAACAGCTGTCGTTGTGTATGAAGAAAAAAACAAAGAGGAGTTGGAGTCATGTGCTGTTTCAGAAAATCCGTTTACTATTGAAGACAACACGTCTGGTACACATGAAATAGCAGAATTTGAGGCAATGGTAGATGATAATATAAACGAAGAAGTGGAACTTTGTGTGGCTATTGAAGAGCCATTAGGGAGTTTTAGCAAGAGTACGACTACGACTACGAGTACAAAATTTGACCGTGTAAGAGAATGGCACGAGGAAGTTTGTTGTCGTTGTCGCTTGGTCAAAATTTTGCTTTAGTTGTAAACAATAGAACGAGCCTTTTTATTGTGTAAAACACCGACGTTTGCGAAGCAGCTACGGCTCTATTTTTCAATAATGGTATCAAATAATCGATAATACTGGTTTTACAAGAATATAGGACTCTTTAGACTGAAAAATCTTCACTATTTTAAGTTTTATGTACGATATATTTGTACTATTTTATTGTTAGTTTACCTTTCACTTTGCGTACGAAATACATGAAAGTTTTGCAGGTCATATTTTCCTTTTTAATGTACATCTGCGCTCTAAAAGGGTTCTAAATTAAAGCCTGGATGCTCGAAAATAGTACTGTAAACTGTTGTAAATTGTCATGTTATGTTATGTAGAGTGTGACTGTGTCATATTTTTGATACTAAGATATAACGGATATTATGTTTATGTAAAATGTTAAGTCATATATTACTAGACAAATAGGAAAATACGTATATAGTTACTAAACTGTGGTTTCAGTGGAAATCCTGTACGTAAATTTAAAATACTTAGGAACACTTTTTCTACCCAATGTGGCATTGCGGTAGGATGTAGGTAATGACGGTACTCTATAAACGGAATGGCGTGTTGCAAGTCATGCAAACGCCCAAAAATCATATCCTAATAATTATAATATAAATAAGAGCTTGCAAGCGTTGGTTCGGCATTCGGAAAAACAGACGTTGTTAGACGTACAAAAGTGATAAGTTGGAAATCGTATCGCAGGAGGCGATAGCGTTTGAATAAGTTTCAAGTTTAAAGATTGACGGTTGGCCGTAATCTCAACGTTTCAATAACATATTTGTGTCGCAAAGAACCAACGTTTGGAACTCCGTATCATAAATCGTGCACAAACCACTGTAAATATCCTATCAAGTGTTAAATACAATTGTCAAAATACAGTCCCATCGTTCGAGTGAAGTTTCGAGAGCAGTGAACCAGCACTTCGCGCAGATTGTGCGAAACGTGGTCCTTCGAGCCGGATAGAGTAGCAGAATTCGAGAACACATGGATAGGATAAAAAAGGGTTGTTCACGATGTCAGAGCTGACAAGAAAGCGACAGTCGAGTGGGCATAAATCGTACGCCACAAAGTTGTGAACAAGGTGAGAAGTATGGTAAACGATAATGCGCCACTAAGGAAAGTCGAATTGGAACAAATGCGGCTTGTACTCGTACAGAAATTGGATACAATTTCGAAGTTAGACGATGAGATTCAGAGCTTGTTGGAAAAGGATGACGATATTGCAGCAGATATCGACAGCTCATCGGAATACGGCTGCGAAGTTCTGGGTGCGTTGGCCGAAATTAACGAAGCGCTGAGCACGATAGAGACGAACAAACGAAACGAGGAACTCGCCAACACATCGACAAGTACAGTATCCAGTGGGGCACGCTGTAGAGTGAAGCTGCCTAAACTAGAGGTGAAAAAGTTCTCGGGCAGGATACAAGATTGGCGTGAATTCTGGGACTCTTTCGAAAGTTCCATTCACAACAATGACGGACTGTCTGAGGTAGACAAATTCACCTATCTGAGGGGATTGGTGGAGGAGCCGGCCAAGTCAGCAATTTCGGGATTTGCTCTGACTTCGGTTAACTATGCAGAAGCACTGAAGGTGTTAGAACGGAGATACGGGAGCAAAGTGATGGTGCAAAGGGCACACGTAAATGATTTGATGAACTTAAAGCCCGTGTACAACGAGAGTGACACGACGAGGCTGCGCAAGTTCTTCGACGCGGTCGAAACAAATTACCGAGGACTCGAGGCGCTCGGTGTAAAGGAGGAAACGTACTGCGAGATAGTCATGCCCAATCTTCTAACAAAGATACCGAACTCATTAAAACTGACAATTACCAGGGGAAGAGACTACTTAGAGTGGGGCATGAAAGATTTTGTCGACGCATTACAAGCCGAAGTGGAGCTGCGGGAATGCCACAAATTAGCGGTCGGAGAGAAAGAAGAAGATCAACGAAGAAGACGACGGGAACCAGGAACAGCTAACGGGTTGTTTGCCAGCCGCAACAACCGATTGTTTTGTGCTTTCTGCTGTGGAGAGCACAAGCATGAAGAATGTACCAAAGTAACGGGGCGGCAAGAACGGATGCAACTTCTTCGTAAGTTCAAACGATGTTTCAATTGTTTAAATAAGGGACATGTAGCTAAAGATTGTCGTGCACGTATTAAATGTAGCGTATGTGGGGAGGGTCATCATGTTTCCATATGTGATAAGAGTAATAATAACGAGAAGGATGAAAGAAATAGTCGGGAAGAAAGTGGACAGGTTAGTGTAGCTAATGTCCACGTTAGTACTAGAAGTAGAGTGGCTCTTCAAACTGCGCAGGGAGTACTTATAGGAAAGGGTAAGACAAGAGTGCGAGTGCTTTTCGACTCGGGAAGTCAGAAATTCTTTGTGACGTGTGACGCGAAGAGGTGTGCCAAGCAACGTTGCTAGGCGAGAATGGTTGGAAGTTAATACATTCGGTGGTGGAAGTAACAAGGGTAGAATGACAGAGGTTGTTCAGTGCGAGGTATCGGCAGTTCGAGGAGGTCGTAAAATACGCGTAGAGGCTTTAGTAGTTCCTCATATTTGCACGATCAAAAATGAGCATCTTGAGGTAGATAAGAACAAGTATTCGCATTTGAAGGATTTGTGGTTGTCAGACGTTAATTTGAAGCAGGACACGTTAGATTTTGATGTTTTGATAGGTGCGGATAACCTTTGGGCATTTCAACAAGGTGAGATAATTAGGGGCAAGGATGACGAACCCGTTGCCATCAATACTTGTTTAGGTTGGGTAATAAGCGGTCCACTGAAAGGGAGCTCGAACTTGAAAAACACACGTTAATTTAGTTTCACAGATTGCAACACAAAACGCAGACAGCATTAATGGGGATGTGAGTAAATTGTGGGATTTAGAAACGCTTGGAGTAAGAGAGACTAATGACGTGCATGAAGCATTGCTTGACAAAATAGAGTTCAATGGGTCAAAATATGTAGTAAAATTGCCATGGAAACAGGGTCATGAGCACTTACCGTCAAATTATTCAAATAGTTTAGCACGCATGAAAGGGCAGATAAAGAGGTTGTCAAGTGAGCCATCATTGTTGAAAGAATATGATAATATTATAAAGGAACAGCTAGAAACGGGTGTTATAGAAAGGGTAGATGAGTCTGAACCTGGGATAAATGTTCATTACCTTCCCCATCAAGCCGTAATACGTAAAGAGGCCAAAACAACCAAATTGAGAATTGTTTATGACGCATCGTCAAAAGAGGGTAAGAAAGGGACTTCTTTGAATGACTGTCTTCGTGTAGGACCACCACTAACGCCGTTGCTGTTTGACATATTAATTAGATTTAGGGAGAGCAGACTGGCCTTGGTAGGAGACATAGAGAAAGCCTTTTTGAACGTAGAAGTAGACGAAGCAGACAGGAACTATTTGAGATTTTTGTGGGTGAGATATGCGACTAATGGTAATTTAGAGGTTGTAGCGTATAGGTTTTGTAGAGTAGTGTTTAGACTAAATGCATCGCCCTTCTTGCTTAACGCCACGCTTAGACATCACATTGCGCAATTTGCAGAATCAGATCCAGTGCTTGCTCAGAAATTGAATGAGGGGTTTTACGTGGATGATCTAGTTTCGGGGGCAAGAGCACAGGAAACAATCGAGTTGTACGAGAAAGCGAAATTTAGGATGTCCCAAGGCGGATTTAAGTTAAGAAAATGGCTTACGAATGATGGAAACGTGCAAGCGCCTATAGAGCAACGTGAATGCGGAAACAAAGTGACGACGACTACAGATTCAGACGACGAGACATTCACACAGTGGAGTTTGGGGGCTCTAAATAACAATGACTGCGCAAAGGTTTTAGGTATAGGCTGGGATTGTGACAATGATCTGTTTACGTTTGATTTACGAAAGTTTGTAGAAGACTTAGGTGATAAGACGAAACTAACAAAGAGAAGCCTGCTAAGCGCATTAGCAAAGATATTTGATCCGTTGGGTTTAATTAGTGCCGTTATTATTTTGATGAAGATTTTGTTTCAACAATTGTGTGTTGATAAGGTTGATTGGGATGACAAAATAGAGGGTAAGCACGCAAAGATATACTTAGAGTGGATTGAGGATTTAGTTAGGGTTCAAAGAATTAAAATTAATAGATGCGTTTACAGTGAGGTAATCGAAAGGGTCGAGTCGTGCGAACTCCATGGATTTGGCGACGCAAGTGAGAAGGCTTATTGCGCAGTAGTGTATTTTGTTTGTCGCACAAGCTCTACCATTCATGTAAAATTATTGGCAGCGAAAACTAGAGTTGCACCCCTTAAGAAACTGACGATTCCACGTTTAGAGCTTATGTCTGCGCTTATGTTAGCTAAATTGGTAGAGTCAGTAGGGAAAGCTTTAGAAGGGCAGGTAGGAAAATTGAAGTCAAGATATTGGTTAGATAGCATCACTGCTTTGTATTGGATTCAGAATAGAGGTGAATGGAAGCAGTTTGTGAGACATAGAGTGAATGAGATACTATCATTGACGAGTAAGGATAGCTGGGGGCATTGTCCAGGGGTAGAAAATCCTGCAGACTTAGGTAGTCGCGGGGTGTTTGCGTCAAAGTTAGAAGAGGATTCAATTTGGTGGAATGGACCAAATTGGTTGAGCAGTCTAGAGCAGGAATGGCCTCAGTCTGTAGTGAGTAAGACCGAGGAGAGTGTTCAGGAAGAAAGAAAGGTGGCTGTGTTAGTAGTAGACGCTAGTGAGAAATTTGGTATAGACCAGATTATCTGTATAGATAGGTACAGTAGGGTGGAAAGGTTATTTCGTGTAACGGCATGGGTTGCACGGTTTGTCAGGAATTTGATTGCTAGGATCAAAGGGAAGCATGAGGATTTGACTTTCACGGAGTTAGGGAGTCAAGAGTTACAGAAAGCAGAAAGACTTTGGATAAAGGCTTCACAGGACAGGTTAAAGAAGGAAGATAAGTTTAAGCAGTTAGAGGTACAGCTCAACGTAGTAGAAAAGGATGGGTTGTTAAAATGTCAGGGTAGGCTAGCAGAGTCAGATTTGGAAGAGGAAACAAAATTTCCTACTTTACTACCAAAGGAAGGTCGATTGACAGAATTAATAGTTGAGCACAGCCACAGGAAGGTACATCATAGTGGGGTAAGGGCTACTTTAGCTGAGATAAGGTCTAGATTTTGGATTCCCCAAGGAAGACAAAGGGTAAAATCGATTCTCAACAAATGCATCGTGTGCAAGAAATTAGAGGGTAAATCATACATTAGACCTAGCAAAGCAACAGTCAAGACTTTAGAAAACCTCTATAATAATGCAAGTATGCAAGGGTATTTGGGAAACAATAGAATAGAGTGGAAATTCAATCTAGAAAGAGCTCCCTGGTGGGGTGGATTTTTTGAAAGGATGGTTAGGTCAGTGAAGAGGTGCTTGAAGAAGGTCTTAGGAAATGCTAGGTTGACATTTGACGAACTACTGACAGTATTGGTAGAAGTTGAGGCAACATTAAATTCTAGGCCATTGACTTACACGTACGACGAGGTGGGTAGTGAACCACTAACTCCGTCGCATTTGGTGACGGGAAGAAGGTTGTTGTCCATGCCAGACGATGTGTCTGGTGAAGAGTAGTCTGATGAGGGTTACTGTAAAAAACGGTATCAGTATTTGAGTAAGAAAAAAATACATTTCTGGAATAGGTGGCGAAAGGAGTATTTAGTTGATTTAAGAGAGTTTCATAAGCAGGACAAAGACAATACAAATAGGGTAGTGCAAAGGGGAGATGTCGTGACTGTTTATGAGGATAATGTGAAAAGGGGAAATTGGAAAACAGGTGTAATAGAGGAGTTATTTGTAGGAAAAGATGGTGTGGTTAGAGGCGCTAAGGTTCGGTTAGTTAGGAACGGTAAAGTCGTTCACCTTAATCGTCCCGTCCAAAACTCTTTCCTACCGAGTTGAAGCACGACGAAGGCGAGAATGAGCGAGAGAGAGAGAAAGGACTGAAAGGAAGGAAGGTAGAAAATACGGGCAGACCCAAAGAGCTGCTGCTCTTGATTCTGTCTGGAAGACACAGAATATGCTTGATTAGTGGGACTAATCAAGGTGGGGAGTGTGTTGTAAATTGTCATGTTATGTTATGTAGAGTGTGACTGTGTCATATTTTTGATACTAAGATATAACGGATATTATGTTTATGTAAAATGTTAAGTCATATATTACTAGACAAATAGGAAAATACGTATATAGTTACTAAACTGTGGTTTCAGTGGAAATCCTGTACGTAAATTTAAAATACTTAGGAACACTTTCTCTACCCAATGTGGCATTGCGGTAGGATGTAGGTAATGACGGTACTCTATGAACGGAATGGCGTGTTGCAAGTCATGCAAACGCCCAAAAATCATATCCTAATAATTATAATATAAATAAGAGCTTGCAAGCGTTGGTTCGGCATTCGGAAAAACAGACGTTGTTAGACGTACAAAAGTGATAAGTTGGAAATCGTATCGCAGGAGGCGATAGCGTTTGAATAAGTTTCAAGTTTAAAGATTGACGGTTTGCCGTAATCTCAACGTTTCAATAACATATTTGTGTCGCAAAGAACCAACGTTTGGAACTCCGTATCATAAATCGTGCACAAACCACTGTAAATATCCTATCAAGTGTTAAATACAATTGTCAAAATACAGTCCCATCGTTCGAGTGAAGTTTCGAGAGCAGTGAACCAGCACTTCGCGCAGATTGTGCGAAATAAACTAATTTCTTACAGAATGAAGACATATACCTAGTTTCTTTGCTAAAAAAGACATCGTAGTCGCGACTACGAATTTTTTACAAAGCATCGTACTCAGATTGATGACGGCTGCGTGTTTTTGTTGTCGCAACGATGTTTTCGCGCCAAAATGACGTAAATCGTACTCGTAGTCGTACTCGTAGGCTCTGCTAAAACTCCCTATTATTTGTTGACGACGACACTTCTGTTAACAGTCACGTAGCGAGATTTGGAGCAGTAGAAAATAGTTGTTTGCTGAGTGATGATAGTTCAAATGAAGAGGTAGACGTTAAGATTAAATCATGTAATACTTATTTCATTAGTCTTTTGATTGTTCAGAATAAAAAATACGAATCTTTTTTAATGCGAATCTTTCAATTGTCATTCATTCATCTGATAAAAACAGATTTTTCTATTTAATTTACTGGATGTGTCTTTTTTACAATGTCTTTATCCGTTTAGGCTGCACAAAGTGAAAACTCATCAAACTGTGATTCAGATAACCAAGAAGATATTACATGGATCACTTGTGCAGGACAGTTAAGAGTTCTATCACAACTTTTTCATCAGTGTCAGAATATTCTTAATGAAGCGATAATAGATAATGATACACGTAAACGCGAAGCGCTTTTCAGAAAAAGTGAAGCACATAGCAAAAAAAATACAAGATT